AACCCCTCAATGGAAAAAGTGCTGTTCCAACAAAAGAGGGAGGGTTAAGAAACTCTTCCAGCTCTGTTTGGCGAAGTGATCTCTTGAAGCCTCGGATACTAGCTCATGCTGGTTAACCATGAGTAGGAAAAGGGAAGGGAAGAGATCCCGCAAGACAGAAGATCCAACCCACAAGTTGAACCTGAAAAGAGTTTGACAGCCTCCCAAGCAACTATCCTGGAATTACATTTGAAAGACTTAAGAGTACTTAAAAGGGTACTCCAAATGTTGGAAGATCTGCTGTAGGTTCGCGAGGTGGGTAGCCAAGAAAAGGTTGAATATTGTATTTCCCTTGTAACACAGACTTCCACAGGTGATTGGGTTCCATTGCAAACCGCCAACACCACTTCCCTAAGAGAGCCGTATTAGTGAGCAGCAAATCTCATATACCAAAGCCTCCTAAATGTTGTGTTACTCGCACGTTATCCCAAGCCACAAGGTGAAACTTGCACCTATCACTATCTCCTTCTCAAAGAAATTGTTTCATCAAGAAATTGAGGAGCTTGATGATTGATGAAGGAATCTTGAAGAGGGACATCTGAAAGATCGGAATGGAAGAAAGGGTAGCTTTGATGAGGGTTGTTGTTCTGGCTGGAGAGAGAAACCAACCTTTCCAACAAGCAAACCTACTATCAAACTTGTCGATGATATGAGCCCATGCACCAAGTTTCGGTCTACCAATGTAAAGGGGGACACCGAGGTAGGTGGAAGGTAGGGATTCGACGGAACAACCCCAACTATCCGCCAACACATGGGTGATGCTAGGGTTCGAGGGCAACCCCAATCATTTTGGATTTCCCTAAATTAATTTTGAGCCCTGTAGTCCACTCAAACAGTTTGAGAAGAATATTTGTCTCTTGGCGGGAAGCCTTGCAGAAGACGAGAGTATCATCAGCGTATTGGAGGTGTTAGGTCTCAGGACCCCTGGACCCACATTGGAATCCATGAATGTGACCAGCTTCAATAAGCCGAGAGATTGAGCGACTAAACACTTCTACCACTATGGCGAAAAGAAAAGGTGAGAGGGGATCACCCTTGCATAAACCTCTCGAGGCCGGGAAGAAACCCTTAGGCGAGCCATTGATGAGAATCGAGAAGTATGGGCTGGATATGCGGCCCCAAATCCAAGACCTCCATCTTTGATCGAAACCCATCTAGTACCTCCATCTTTGATCGAAACCCATCTAGTGTTGGGTTTCATCTAGGACGGCCCAATCGGACACTTAACAATCAAACCTGGACACTTGGCAAGGGGAGATAACTAAATTGAGAACTTCTTTGAGGCGGGAAGCCAACACTTTGGCCAGAATTTTGAAAGAACTATTAAGGAGATTGATAGGACAAAAGTCCTTGAGTTCCTTAGGGCCCTCGATGTTAGGGATTAGGGTAATGAATGTAGCGTTCAAGGCCTTGTGAACTATACCTCGCTCGAAGAATTCCTCAAAGAAAGCTAGGATCTCTAGGCGGAGCACATACCAGAAAGAAGAGAAGAAGGCAAATAGGGAAACCGTCTGGGCTAGGGGCTTTGTCCTGGCCGAGGTCGTGAATAGCCCTCAAAATTTCGGTTTCAGAAAAGGGGGATTCCAACCAAGCTGTTTTCTCGGGAGGAATAGACAAAATGATAGGTCGCCCAAGCGAGTTTTGGGGTCAGAAGGAGACGTAAAGAGGTTTTGAAAATACTCGATGATGGCCGAGTGGATTTCAGCATGTTGTTCGAAGGTAGAGTTGCCCACTTTGATACGAGTGATCATATTGTCCTGTCTCCTACAATTGGTAGTCTTGTGGAAGAAAGCCGTGTTGAGATCACCGAATTTCAACCATTTGAGGCGTGACCTTTGATGCCAATAAATTTCCTCTTTCTTGAGTATCGAAAAGTAATCGGACTTTAAGGCAATCCGCAATTCTCTTTTAGAGACCGAGAGAGGTCTGGATTCTTCCTGTTGATCCCATTTTGGAATCACTGCCAAAGAAGAAGCTTTCAAAGTTCTGAAGTTGTGGGGAGAATTGATCCTCCAACCCTTAATGGACTCTTTAAGAAGATAGATCTTTTTTTGCAATTGAAAGCCAGCGTGACCTGAAACCTGAGGCGAGAAAGAATTCACTAGATAGGGATCTGGCGACAGAATTCAGCATCTTTGAGCCACCATAACTCGAGTCTGACAGGCCTGGGCCCTCGCAGGGTTGGGTTGGTATCGAGCAAGATTGGGCAATAGTCCGAAGTGGGTTTGGGAAGAGCCGAGGCGAAAGAGCCTGGGAAAACGACGTCCCACTTCGGGCTAAGGAGGAAACGGTCCAACTTGGAGAGGGTGGGATCAACGGAGTGGTTTGACCACGTGAATTGAGCGCCTTGCCATGGGATATTTATCAGCTGGTTACGAGCAATGAAGTCCAAAAACTTCATCATGGCTTGAGTGAAACACGCCCTCGAATTTCTTTCGAAGGAGACTCTAGTGATGTTAAAATATCCCCCCAAACACCAAACTAGAGGGGAGAGGACAGCCACCTGTTCGAGCTCCTCCCACAAGAGCTCATGAAGGGAGTTCGGGTGAGGGCCATAAATCACCAAAAATTTCTAGAGAAAGTCGTTAGTCCGTCTAGAGAGGACCAATGAAACGGAAAAAAGGCTAGTGGGGGAGTGGCTCAAAGAGAAGAGGGAAGGGTTGCAAATGACCCAGATGCCTCCCGAAGCCCCCGAGGCAAGGAGGGCTAACCATTGATTGGGTCTGCGGCCTCAAACCAATCTGATTTGGGAAAGAGACGGGGCCAAGTTTAGTTTCACAGAGGGCAATGAGCACTAGGTGAAGTTGATTTGTAATGTCCCAGATAGCTGAAGTTTTGGCGGAGCTATCCAATCCGCGCACATTCCATGATAGGATTAATATGGAAGAAGTCTTGACGGGGTTGGTACTTTTCTAGTCGAGCGTCTAAGCTTAGACTCCGATGGAGACGGAGGAATCATGACATTGCTGGGTCTCGGATCCACCACCAGGATGGCCAGTTCACTTGTTAGGAAGGGGGTTGGCCAAGATGAATTCTTGGAAAACATGCTCCGGGCCATCAAATTTCATACCCATGGCTTGTGTCACTAGAGGATAATCCCCTTGGGCCAGATCCAAGGCGTCGAGAGACCTAGAATCAGCAGGGGAGGGAAAGGACGAAGAAGGACGAGGAGAGGATAGAGAGGGGGAAGGTGTCCTCATCGGGGAAGAGGGCTTCAACGGAGCAGGGGGTGAAGACAGGGAAGGAGGGAAAGAAGCCAGAGGGGCAGGCGAGAGGCAGAAAGGTAAGAGGTGGGCCTCCAGAGGGAGAGGAGAGCAAGGGGTAGACGGAGGGCGAGAAAAACCCGTAGAGGATGGTTTGGGAGGTGCCGATGAAGGGCAAAGAGGTGCAGGCTACAAATGGGCACGAGGTAGAGTCGCTTGCGAGGACCCTATCGGTAGAGAACCATGGGTGGCCCGACGAGAGGCCCAGCTATAGAAGAGGTGATTCAATCTTGAAGACAGGTCAGCCAATGATGACTTGCCACATCTCGAAACAGATGACAGAGAGGCGGTCGCGTGGTGGGGAGCCGCAAGGGCACTGCCGCGAACAGACGAAGGATACGGAAGAGGGTCCACCGGTTCGTGGACGATGACATGGCACTGGGTTGTAGGAGAAGGTTGGTGGAGATGAGGGCGAGGATCAACGAGAGCGGTAGAGGGATACGTGGCGCAAAGAGGAGGAATGACAGAAGAAGAAGGCGGTTGGGCAGAGGCAAGGCTGCCATCTGTCGACCTAAGAGGAGATTGGTTGGGATTGAGGAGTATGGCCGGCACGTAGGTGAACATGCATCGACCTTGGGGCAGGGGGTAGGTGACGCCAGACAGGTCCCTAGGGAGGGTGTGCGCCTTGCGATGGCTAGATGGACCGTTGAGGAGACCCGACGTCCCGCGAGAGCGAGAGACCTGGATCCAACGGCTGGGATTGGCAAGGGCTACGGGAGGTGGAGCCATCGAGTTGAAAAAAGAAGGGTAAGGCGGCGATGCTTGCTGCCAGGTGTAAGACACCCTCAAAAAATGTCCATCCGCCTCTAACCAAAGAGAGGGGACTTGCACCAGGGTCCAAGACCTCCACACATACTTGGATAGCTCACATAGGGAGAGTTTCTATCGATTTCCAGTAGATAGACACCAACTTCCCACAAGCGTTTTCGAGAGTTCTGAACATGTTCGTTGTCCAAGCGTGGAGTGTGATACCAAAAAATCTAACCCAAACCTTTTGAGCTTTGAAAGCAACCATCTCTAGCGATCAGGGCGAGAGAGAGAGATGGCTGCACCTTTGAATCTTGTTGAGTTAAACTTCCCCGCGATGGAGGTGGCGGTTGCTACAGGCCAAAAGAACTGAGTCTTTCCACGCGCTAATCGTTTGTAGATTACGTTGGGGATGCCCCAAAGACGCTTGGCCCATCTTTCGATCCCACGAATGTCATCCCGACTAGGGGACTAAGAACCTATAAGAGCCGCAGATAGTTTGGATGCAAGCATCGGGTCGCAAACACTGTGCAGACGGCCAGGAGGAAGTTGCATGGAAGAGGGGGACTCCAGATGTGGGTTGAGAAGGGTGGCCGAGGTGTAAAGGGGTGGTAGAGGGATGGGCACAGGGGGGCTCGAGGGGGTGGGGGTGGAAGAGGTTCACAAAGGATTATCTCATTTTCTCGGAGGTATGGACTTAGATATCCTTCCCCTCACTTCTTATAATGCGAAGCTTCTATTCAGGCTTCTCGATTATTGCATAATGTGTATCCTATTGGGTGATGCGCTATATCCACTCTCATGTGTTGTCCCGCATCTGTGTGTTCTCGTATTCAGAAGTTTCCTTGTTAAACACTCACACTAGAAATAAAATCCTCATCAAACTGAAGTCTTTCATTGTGCTCTTGCAATTTCTTTCTCTAGATGCTTCTTATCCTAGATGGTTGGCAGGTATCTAATTATTCTGCATACTGGCAATGATGGTCATGCAAACTGAATGGAATCCACTAACATCTTCAAGCTTTTTGCTAGGTAAGGGATTGACTGTCAAACACTAGAGTGAAGGTCATGATTCTAAATAAATATTATTTTTATTACTACTGAAGTGACCATTTTCTATAAGACATAGAAGTTTAATTCAATAACCCATTGCATGCAGTGACAAATTGGAACTGAGGAATCGAGTTTGATGACAAGGATGACATGAGACTGGAACCGAGGAATTGAGCATCTTGAATGTATTAGCAACCGTGCTCGTCCTTGACCAATTGGAAACGAGAAACTCTTATCTACTTATCATGCTCAAAGGCTTTGCAGTGTTAAAAGTCAATTGCAAAGCACAAAATGTTATCATCAGTCATCTACCATTTGTTTGCTTCTTCGTGAGGTGGAACATCATGCTTGTTTCAGATGGATATTGAGAACCTTTTTAACGTTTTCCTTATAATCAATACCTTTGTTTGAGCATTGAAATCTATGATGTCTACTAGTGGGGAATGTGTTTGTCAGAAAATTTCCTAAAATTCCATGTTGGTATTGTCTTTGATAAACTGGAGCATTTTTTTTGGAGCTATCCCTGCTTAGATGATGTATTGGTGAGCTTTATGGTTTCTGGTGCCCTTGTAATTTTAAAGAACTATTATTTCAGGACAAACATAATATATAATCAATGGTTAACCTCTTCAACGAAGTTTGGGCAACCTGTAGCTGCCTGAGACTTCTGCATACCACTATACATGGAGCTATATATATATATATATATATATATATATATATATATATAGT